GGAGGGGGGGGGGCTTAAATAGCAACTGGAAAGATTGGTAATACCACACTGACCCAAATCTCCGGCACATTGGGAATTCATCGGCAAACGGTTATCGGTGAAATCGGCTCCCTCCGATGCATTCTCACATCACCTCCCACTCTGTCCCTTCCCCTCCACCTCACTAGGTACACTGGTCTTGTCGACCTCAATTCATAAAGCACTCGGATTCCAATCTCCCCGGTACTGCGAGACGATTCCGATACTTTTAATTGCCATTACGATATTTACAAACTGATTCACCAATGGACGATTTATTGGGTATCAATTGAATGAGAAAAGAGGATTATATTGACTGAAGAATGAAAATTTCTGATGAAGAAGTTTGCAAGATCAGTCATTTCAATTATAACTTCCATTTTAAGTTCTTCAGTTATCGGATGAGAAAATATTTCAATTGAATTTCAATTAATTATTCAGAGAGCGCAGCATTGAGGGGGCAAAATGGGCTTTCGCTGTTTTTTTTTTAGATTTTGGCTAGAAAAAAAAAAGTGAGACAAGTAGAAATGTCTGAGAATGGTCAGACGGCTCGGACTCCTGTAAAATCGAAATTTCCGAATGAAAATCTGGGATTGAGATATTTTTCGCTCGCATAATTTTGAAAAAAAATGTCAAAACTCAGGGATCAAAGTCGGTGTAAATAACTGGCACGGTTGGGTCATGCATAAATTGTTGAAACTTGTGGAGGAGAGTATGAAATAAGGCAGTTTGATGAGAATCGAGAGTACGTGTGTGTACGAGAGAGTTTGGCGAATGGTGAAATTAACTTTACGCTAATTAACTCACACTTGGGTTGAGGCTCACGCGAGTGGGGTGTTTTGAAGAGCCCCGTGTGCGTCCGTACAGGGGCTTAAGACGTGGGGGGGGGAGGGGTCGAAATACCCATCGAGACGGAGTGAGATTTAGATAGGCTGTATTATTAAACATGGAGTCTAGGCCACTGGAGAATGTGGAGTGGAGGGGTTGGTAAGTGTGTCACTGGATAGCCGGGGAAAATTGCGCTGGAGAAGGGTTGAGAGGCCTTTTAGTCCTTCGAGGAGCTGACATGGGAAATATGATTTTCATGGTGAGAACGGTGGGAGAGAGACGAATGTGGAGAAAAATTAAGATGAGTTTTATTTTCATTTTTATTGTTGGAAAAATGGTGGAGGGTCAAATTTTATTGGGGGTCTAATGGGAGAGACGAGTGATCACTTCGCTTATCTCTCTCATTTGACCCTCTTGACCCCTCCACCTGTCTCTCCCATTTGACCTTCATAACTCTGATCACTTCCCTCGTCTCTTCCGTTTGACCCTTTTGCCCCTCCGCCCGTCTCCCATTTGACCCACAAAAAAAGTTAAACTCTCCTGATTACTTCCCTCGTCTCTTCCATTTGACCCTCTTGATCCCTCCACCTGTCACTCCCAGTTGACCTTCATAACCCCTCCGCGAGTCTCTCCCATTTGACCCTCAAAAAAGTTTGATTCTTCTGATCACTTCCCTCGTCTCTCCCGTTTGACCCTCTCGACCCCTCCGCCTGTCTCTCCCCTTTGACCCTCTTGCCCCTCCGCCCGTCTCTCCCATTTGACCCTCAAAAATAGTTTGATTCTTCTGATCACTTCCCTCGTCTACCGATTGGCCCTCTTGCCCTTCCCCCTGTCTCTCCCATTTGACCCTCGACACTGTCTGACCCTTGAAAAAAAAACCCTCACCGCTCCACCACCAGCAAAATTAAACGAATGAGGGTTTAATTGTGAAAAATGCAGCTGGAT